GTCGCCGCCCTCGTCGTCGTCGACGGCGCCCGCCGTCAGGTCCTCCATGGCCTCGAAGCTCGCGTCGCCCAGCGTGCCCGAGTAGTTCTCGCCGCCGAGCGACGCCTGCGAGCTGTCGCGGCGGCCCGCGCCGAAGCTCCGGCGCGACGGCGCGTCCTTCTTCGGCGCGTCCTTCGTCGACGCGCCGTCGCTCGGCCGCCCGACGGGCGACGGCAGGAAGCGGCCGAGGACGCCGAGGCTGAGCTGGCGCCCCATCGACCGCCGCGGCGACGGCTCCGCGACGGCGCGCGCCTCGGGCGTCTCGTTTCCCTCGGGCGCCGTCGCGTCGCGCTCCCTGGCGCCGAGGCTCAGCATGGCCTTGAGCATGGCCGGTGCCGTCGCGTGGTGCTCGATGCGCAGGTGGTGCTCGTCGTCGTCGTGGCCCTCGTGCCGTCCCTCGAGCAGAAAGTTCTTGCCCCGGAACCGCGAGCCGTCGCAGGGCCGCGGCGCGTCGTCGCCGCGGGGCCGCGGCGCGTCGTCGCCGCGCGCCGGCGGCACGCCGGCGGCGACGCCGTGCTTCTCGAGCGCCAGGGCCGGCAGGAAGTCGCGGAGGAGCGCCGCGGACCACCGCTCGCAGTCGGCGCCGCGCGCGTCGAGGATTGCGCCGAAGGCGCCGCCGCGGCGGCCCAGGGTTCGCATGCGCCGCGCGAGGAACGCCGCCGACGCCGCGTGCGCCTCGACGGCGGCGCCGAGGTCGCCGAGCGCCGCGGCGGCGGCGGCGGGGCTGCAGGCCGGCGCCGGCGCCTCCTTCCGCTCGTCGCTGCCCTCGCATGCGGCAGCGTCCACGTCCGGCGCCGTCGGGAGCTGCGGCGAGGCCAGGTGTGACTGAGCGCCCTCCTGGACCCCGTCAGGCAGCAGAACTGCCTCGTCCTGAACCATCGTTCCAAGAGCTACCGACGGCAACCAAAAAAAAGGTTCTAGGCTAGGTTCGAGATGCTCTCGTGAAGATACGTTTCGGGCCGGCGGCCGCCGCCATCCATTGGTCGGAACGATGAGGCTGCCCGTACTCGCCCCATTGGTCGGAACGATGAGGCTGTCCGTACTCGCCCTCGTCCTCGCGCCCGCCGCGGCCCAGAAGGCGTGCGCCTCCGTCGCGTTCAGCATCAAGGACGAGATCGAGACGACGGGGGGCATGGTCGAGGGCGTCTACGCCGCCGACATGGCGGCGACGGCGACGTCGACGTGCTGTCCGCCGACGGCCGGGCGGACCTGGTGGCCTGGTACGAGAACGGCGGGCTCTGCACGGACGTGCCGGACTACGGCTGCATGTACTGGGGAAATAACGCAAACTACTGGTTCTGGGGGGACCCGATCTACGTCGACGGCGCCGCAGACGGCGCGGCGCAGGTCGTCGCCGCGGACGTCGACGGCGACGGCGACCTCGACGTCCTCGCCGCGAACACGGGCGACGACGTCCCGGCCTGGTACGAGAACGTCGACGGCGCGGCCCTGTCCTGGACGAAGCGCGCCATCTCCGGCGACGAGAACTACCTCTACTGCCTCGCCGCGGGCGACGTCGACGGCGACGGCGACGCGGACATCGTCTCGGCCCAGAGCCTCTTCGCCTGGTACGAGAACAGCGACGGCGCGGGCCTGGACTTCGTCGAGACCTCCCTCTCGGACATCTACTCCGTGACCTGGGTCGCGCCGCCGGTCGACGTCGACGGCGACGGCGACGTCGACCTCGTGGCCGCGTTCTACGCGCCGTACAACCAGCCCAACGACGTCGCGTGGTTCGAGAACGACGGCAGCCAGGGCTTCACGATGCGCACCATCGACACGACGGCCGAAAACATCAAAGAGATCGACGTCGCGGACGTCGACGGCGACGGCGACCTCGACGCGCTCTCGGCGTCCTACGGCGACTACACGGTCGCCTGGTACGCCAACGACGGCGCCCAGACCTTCGAGAAGCACGTGGTCGCCGCGGGCAGCGCCTGGGCCGGCTTCTGGGCCGTCGTCGCCGTCGACATCGACGGCGACGGCGACGTCGACGTGCTGTCGAGCGCCTACTGGAGCGACGAGATCGCGTGGCACGAGAACGACGGGTCCCAGTCCTTCGAGGAGCACGTCTTCGACTCCGACGCGAACAGGGTCGCGCACGTCTCCGCG